TTGGTCGTCATCTTCATCTTCGTCGTTATCTTTTTTGTTTTGGTCATCTTTGTCCTTAGGGCTGCTTCTTCATCATCTTCTTGGTCTCTGTCTTCTTGGTTGTGAACTTCATCCTTGGTCTTTGTCGATATCTTTAACTTCTTGGTCCTCATCATCATCTGTTTTGTCTTTGTCTTGTTGGTTGTCATCTTCATTTTTGATTTCATCTTTTCTTCTGCTTTATCGTCATCTTGGTCTTCTTTGTCATCTTCTTTGTTGTTTTCATTTTGTTCTTCTTGGTCTGTCAGAGTCGGGGATAGAACCCGGGTCTCTGGTGTGAGAGGCGAGTCACATTACCACTGAGCTACTGGGAGTTGATGAAACCAATCAAGAGAAATTGGGTCATCAAGAGAACCCGGACTCATGTAGCTCTGAGATCATTAATATGCACTCCTCAGGCTGTGTTTGAAAAGCAAGAACAACTACATTAATAAAACAATGGAGTTTTCCTCCATTAGTTATATTAAGGCCGAATCCCAGTTCTACCCCTTAGCCCAACCCTTTACCTCTACCCCTCATTTTCCTAGGCAAAAATTTGTGGTCTTAGATCATTGGTTTGACCTATTCACAGACAGCCACTTAGTGCCCGCTGCGATCAGATTTTTCCTCCGATTAAATTCTGGCAGTATCAGAAGATTTCAGACACTTTCCTGAAGTGTGACCACAGCTGCAGCGAGCGTCAACCCAAGAACCAACAGTAGCTCCGAATTTGATGATGCAATCCATGCGACAACTCAAATGACCACAGGGAAATGTCAAAACAGTTTTTCTTCCTGTTTACGTTTGCTGTGAGGAATCATTTCAGAACGTGGGATAGACATCACGGTTGGATGACGTCAAACTTTGGGGGAGTTTTCTTTTATGTTTGGCACATCTTCATTGTTGTTCAGTCTGACTTTATGACAGCTGAGATCTTACAGTGTGACATGGGAGCCATGTTTGTGTAGTCTAAAGGCTGATTTATACTTCTGCGTCAAACGCCGGGGAATTCTACGGCGCTGATGCATAGCCCTTCACCGTGGCCGTTGGCGTCGCTGATGTATACCTCTCATGTGTACATGACACTGGATTCTCTTGATGACAGCAGGCTGAGATATCCAGAAAGATTATCATCTGCCAGTAGCTCAGTGGTTACTTACATACCTCTCACACCAGAGACCCGGGTTCTATCCCCGACTCTGACAGATGAAGAAGACCACGATAAAGAAGAGAAGGACGAAAACAAAGAAGAGGACAACTAAAGGCCTGCTAACACTTTAGATTTTTTATAATCCTGAACGATTGTAGCATGTAAAGCCTGGTTTATACTTCTGCGTCAAGTGAACGGCGTAACTCTGTAGTTACAAAATTTGTAACTACACGTCGCAACGACGCGTAGCGCAAGCTCTGTGATTGGTCGGCTTGGGAGCGCTGACAAGTCTGGGCGGGACCGAGAGCCGCGCAAGCGGCGCTAGCCCAATGGAGCGATTGTTTACTAGTGTGGAGTCCCGTGAAGGAGCTCCGGATGTTTACCTCATAGTTAAAGTTGTTGCACGTCTGCCGGTTCCTGCCTCAAAATGAGCGAGTTTGAGCCACTTGCACATCCAGGAAGTGTTAAGGAAAAGCAAAACAGCAGCGAAGAAACTACACAGAGGAACATTTACACCTCACTGCCAACTAGCGTTTCGGAAGTGTTAATGCAGACCAACAGAGGCAGCGCGCAGAAGTATAAATGCACAGCTACGCACGTTGCATGCGCCGTGAGTTACGCTGGTCACTTGACGCAGAAGTATAAACCAGGCTTTACATGCTACAATCGTTCAGGATTATAAAAAATCTAAAGTGTTAGCAGGCCTTTAGTTGTCCTCTTCTTTGTTTTCGTCCTTCTCTTCTTTATCTTGGTCTTCTTCATCTGTCAGAGTTGGGGATAGAACCCGGGTCTCTGGTGTGAGAGGTATGTAAGTAACCACTGAGCTACTGGCAGTTGATATTCTTTCTGGATATCTCAGCCTGATGTCATCAAGAGAATCCAGTGTCATGTAGCTCTGAGATCATTAATATGCATGCCTCAGGCTCCATCAATATAACAATGGCATTTTCCTCCATTAGTTATATTAAGGCCCAATCTAAGTTCTACCCCTTAGCCCTACCACTTACCTCTACCCCTTGTTTTGTGCGTTCATGTGAAGGGATAGAGGTGTCCCAATTCTCTTTAGATTGAAGGTGTAGGGCTAAGGGGAAGGGGTAGATACCCCTTCGAAACCAAGGGGTAAGAAAATTTCCCAGAATACACCAGCCACAACGGCAGCATATCTGCACCCAAAAGTAAGGAGATCCACAAATTAGTATATTTTTGTCAATTATTATGAGTTTTTACAGCAAACAAACACGTTTTAATACATTCATAACCACGTCCATGTTTTACTGTCATGCTTTAAAAAAAAAACCACTAAAATAAAAAACGTTAAATTTTACTATCTATATTCCCTAATAATAACACCTGTATAGCAATTCAACAACATTCTGTCACTCGAAAACACTTAAATACCCTGTCAAAAAAGTCTATTGGCTGGGAATGAGCTCTTTAGTGTCTGCTACAATGTTGTTTCTTTGTGTGATTTACATATATGAATATGGCCACTGTGTAAATGCACAGTACAGTTACTATCTTATTGCCACATTATATATCATTACGATAACATAATGTATGCCTTCAGTGATTTCCTGAAGATAAATAACAAAAACTGGAAAAACTACAGCAGTCTCCATTGTCAATCTCATATGAAGCAAGGGATTGCGATGAAACATGATAATGTGTGCAGGTGCTGTAGTGCTGTCCCATTTCTTAGGGGTTAATTCTGAAGCCCTTCCCCTACACTCTCTGTTTCAGGGGCCAAGGGGAAGGGGCAAGGGTACAAAAAAAAGTATTGGGATTCGGCCTAAAGCTTATATTTAACTTACTAGATATGTGGGACTTTTATTTTGAAAACACCACCACAGATTGTTTACTATGCGTTACTGTACAACAACTGTGTGAGATGTGCTTCAGTATGCAAAATGCAAGATTTGCAGATTATACATTTATTCAGCTCAACTCTAAAGAGGCATAAGGTTTTATTGAATTTTTTGTCAATTTATCGTGTTTTTTGTAAAATTCGAAGCGTAGGTTTCAACAAACACGTGTAGACTGCTGAATCGTGTCATTACTCTGCTCAACTGTCATCTGTTCATGCAGATGATATTAATTTCTGGCTGTATTTTGTGTGACATTATAGCTTAAAAATACAATGCGATACATCTGTATCACTCTCTTTTGTCCAATTTAATTTAAATTTATCCTTGTGAATATAATTGTCTCATGCATCGCATAATGGTATGATGCATGAACATGCTCCACACAGGTGAGCTTGCTTGACAACCACCTGTAGGACACACTCCTCAAAGGGTTAACATTGTGTTAGAAACTCTCATATACATGTTTATTTCTATGTTTGTTTATATAACTGCAATTTTCATTTATAACACTCCATTTTTGCATATTGTGTTTAAGTGAAGTTTATTTCTAAACTAATTTCGAGAGGATCACGTGCTTGCGATTGCTTGCAGCCAGCCCCGCATTATTGAATTTATGATCCTCCAATCAGATGATTCCTAAGCCACTATAAACATCCTAAGTTCCATATAACAGCCATCTTCAGACGAGTCTTCATTGAGGCCATCTTCCAGCATAAACCACGGCGAATGAAGTTCTGCACAAGACTTTTGGCCAGCGGAGAAATTAAAATGGTCGTGCTCAACTGAGTCTGGTTCTCTCAAGGTTTTTTTTTCTTCACTCCCATCAGGTGAAGTTTTTTTTCCCTCCGCTGTCGCCACTGCCTCGCATGGTTCAGGATTGGTAGAGCTACGCATCGATGAATTGGCTCTTCAGTGTTTGAACTCTCAGTAATGATTAAATCACACTGAACTGAGCTAAACTGAACTGAACTGAACTTAAACACTAAAACCTGAACCACACTGTTCCAGTTACTATGACCATTTATGTGAAGCTGCTTTGACACAATCTACATTGTAAAAGCGCTATACAAATAAAACTGAATTGAATTGAATTGAATCTTCATTTTGAAGAATCCCCTCTTCAACCCCTACTCCTCCTTCCTAAATAGGTGGCACGGTGGCCTAGTGGTTAGCACTGTTGCCTCACAGCAAGAACGTCACTGGTTCTAGTCCTTACTAAGCCAGCCGACATTTATGTGTGGAGTTTGCATGTTCTTCCCATAAAACCAAAATCTCCATTCTGGAGATTTTTTAAACTTACCGAAACCATAAACCTACTATGTAGATATCAGAGAAAAATTTGACTTATCAAACCAATGCAGTACATGGCACCTTTAGCATCTGTGAACATATTATTTCATTTTTATACTTTAGAAAAGTCTGAAACATACATATAGCACCTTTAAGATGTTGTGATGAAGCAAAAATTGATGTGAATAAACTTTCAATTGAAGCACACAAAGTTCTTGATTAAAAAAAATCTCTATCGGTGTTCCAAGGATGAAGGATTGTCCTGTGGGTTTGGATTGACATAAGAGCGAGCAAATGATGACTGCGTGTTTAATTTCGGGGTGAACTGAAGCTTTCAGTTGTAAGGGGTTTCTGGGTGTGCGTCAGCTGGTTTTCCCAGAGGTCTTAGAGGAATATTTAGCAACAGGATGGAAATGATGAACCAATGTTCCTACAGCCCTGTATATATAGAACACAGCCTCAATACACACGACCCACATTCACTTTGTCACTCACAGGAAGAGAGAAACTGGGTCTGGAGTACATTCACGGCCAACATATGCACATACCAACACATATATATTCATATATATCTTCAAAGTTTATAAATATACACACACTCACTCCAATTTTCTATCTTGTGGGTCTGGCTCTAAGGATAATCTAACTGTTAATTCCAGGTGTTACTTCTTTTGCAGGTCACCATTTGCTGCTGTAACAGATTATTCCGTGACCCGGAACAACGTGATCCAGCTGTGCCTGGAACTCACTACCATTGTTCAGCAGGTAATGACATTCATTAAAACCAGTCGACTAGATTAAACTGTCGATTCAGATACTAAAACATTACATTGAAATGGATGTTTTTGAGGGAGACAACATGTTTGAGAGGCTAAATCAGCTGTGAAGGTTCTTGGAAATATTTAATGTAGGTCATATATGGCTCTAGTCTTGTGGTTGTAAATGACTTTCACTGCAGATTTAGTCCTGATATTGAGTTTATTTATTTATGTTTAGCAATATATATGAAATAGTATTTAAACCTCTCTCACAAATGTCATTCCCTCACATGTTTTTAAATGCAGTTTAATAGAGTGGACGAACTATGATGTACCTTTGTAGGCTAATCAGCTGCTAGCATAAAACTGGTTCCCTCAATAAAATCCCTATAGGATTTTCCCATAGGCTTTTCAAAGATTGCAAATAATAAGCTCTGTAATTATTACATTTACAAGGTTTGTCCAACCGTATAATCCTTACACATAAATACAACTTTTAGATTTTACATGCAAACGCAAGAACTAAAAGATTACATTAGGCTATAAACGGACTACAGTGCCATTGGGGTGCTCGTCTGTGACAACAGCAGCACCCTGCTACAGACAACATTTCAGGCTTATTTTTAGAAAAATGTTCCATGGTAAAGATTTACTCTCTCTGTTTATTATATTATAATCTACGCTATATATTATGAACAAATAAATTTTAGCTTTTTGGATAAATTCTTACATGGGAAATACATTTTGTTTCACTTAACGGTTGTTAAAACTGTTGTATAAATTTGCCTACGCAGTATTACCACAAGACATATTTAAGTAAGGTCCAATCCCAATTCTATGTTTGTACCCCTACCTCTTCGCCTTCCCCTTGGCCCTTGAAACAGAGTGTTAAGGGGAAGGGCTTTAAAATGTACCCCTAAGAAATGAGATGCCACTACAACACCTGCACACATCATAATAAGTCATTGCGATCTCTTGCTTCAAATGAGATCGACGACAACGACTGCTGTAGTTATTTCAGTTACGTTATTTTTTGCTATTTATCTTCAGGAAATTACTGAAGGCAACAATATGATGTTATCATAACGATATAATAATGTGGCAGTAAGATCATAACTGTAATGTGCATTACAGTGGCCATATTCATATATCTAATTACATGATAACAACATTAACATTATACCAGACACTGACATCACTCGATGACACTTGAATACCCTGTCAGAAAGTTCTAGTGGCTGGGAATGGGAATTGGGACACCCCTACCCCTTCACGTGAATTCACAAAATGAGGGGGAAGAGCTAAGGGGTAGAATTGTGATTGGGCCTAAGTGTATCGCTTGCGTGCACACAGCCCACTTACCTTAGTAACTGACGATATAAATGAGGCGTGAGGGACATGTCTATATGTCTGCAAGCTTCATCATGGATAGAGAACAACAGTCAATATTCTTTCTCACAAAGTACAGTAAAAAGAAGCCCATGCAGTCACATGTACTATACATTTTAAGGAGGAGTATAAGTACTGCAGTTATGACAGAGTTAATTGTGTTTAGATGAAGAAAAAAACAACAAAAAATCAATTGATCATGTTAAAATGACAGTTATTATGTATGTATTCTTACACATTTATTTACACATTTGCATTACTGAGCGCAGGAAAGAGACAGGCTGCACCGCTAAGCAGTATTTTCATAATATTGTTTAATTAAAATAAATGATTCACAAATTGACAGTCTTTACAAGTGAAGGAATTATCTACACACAATATGAATTCCCAATTAGAAAAATACTACAAACTATAAAATACTATTCATGAAAATGCTTAAATAACAGACAAATCCAAATGCCCAACGCAAGTGGGCTGCGTTTCAGCCCAGTTCAGCTCGATGACATATAATCGAGTGCCGACATTGCCTGTAGTCCCATTTTGTAACTTGATCGCAAACGCCTTTTTAAGGAATCATAACTGATTAAAAAATCAAGAGTGTGATATAACTGATGTGTTTTATGCCGTAGAATAAAACCTGAAAGTATCTTGAGTTTGTGGTAGCCACAAACATTATTTAAATGATTTAACTGAAATCCAATTTTTAAAAAAAATTTGATTTAGGAAACTGGAACTGCTAAAATGCTAATTCCTCTTTTGGGTTTTTGCATACAAATTGACATCATAGTTACTCCACTCTACTGTAAGGGAAGCAAAGTGCAGTGTGGGTGATGTAGTCATTTAGGAAGAGTAACATGATCAAACCATGTCACACAAAAGAGAAATATGAGAAGGGCGTTCAAGGCCCCTTCGGTGACGTGTTAGTGCACATGTTTGTGTACCCAGCAGATTATTTTTGGTAGGGTCAGAAGATCATGGCCAGCACGAGCAGCATTAAATGGATGAGTCTGTCACAGGCAGCTGAGCCTGAACGCTGCACACAATCTCTCTCTTAATCCAGGACAGATTACAGCGTTGAAGCCAGAGATCTGGGTCTAATCTTAACTAATGCAACTACTATAGAGAGCTCATGAACAGCAGGGGGTTTTTGCTCCGATCACCTCCCTGTACATTTTTATTTTAAAGGTGTGTTTCTATTTAAGCCAAGCTGGCTATTAACTCATCCAATATCGAGGACTGATCCAAACAGGTTTCACTGACCAGATGGACTACCAGCTGGTTGGGACCTGACTGAGTTGGTAGACAATCTTTTACCAGTCTAACATGTTCCAAAAACCTGCTCGACCATCTGATTTCTCCATCAGGGCACTTGACCAAGACGGTCAGCCAGTTCTCCGTCACTGCTAGTCTGACTGCGAGTCAACCATGTAAACAAGCTTTTATCATAATATAGCCTTATGGACTACATAGTTTGTATGGATGAGCGCCCCTGCTGGCTTCACCATAATCTTAGTTTAGACGTGTTTGTCTCATTATCAGAAATGAAAATTTGGTTTTAATTTAAACACCTTCAAGATGTGGGTGACTTTTTTCTGAAATTGTGTTGCTTGATCATTCATACCTGCTCTTTGACAGTCAAAAAACAGGCAGAACAAAAATAATGCTTGTCACTCCTGATTTTATTAGCTCATGTTTTACTTTGTCTTGAACCATTTGCCAAGGCTGTTGATCAAACGTAATAATGTTGTTAATAAAGTTCAGTTTCTTGCACAGACTGATTGTTTCGGTTCTTAGAACTTTACTTAAGTTTCTGAAGCTAAAATGTACCAATGGTATTTATGAATCATCGAGTACCCCAGTTTTAATGAAGAAAAAATACAGATCATCCAAATACATTGATCAAAAAAGATCATCCAAATGCAATGCAATGCAGACACTCTGTTGGACCACATTTAGCATTTGCACCATTTCAGTATGTATAATTGACAATGTGACAAGATGTATTACTGTCCAGAGATTCATACATTTTTCTGCAAGATTTTCTATTTTTTATGAGAGAGTCGGATCACTGTGCAGAGTTTTCTCCAGCACATCCCAGAGATTCTCAGTAGGGTTAAGGTCTGGACTCTGTGGTGGCCAAGATGATGTCTCATACTCCATGATTGCTCCATTTCACAATCTGAGCCAGATGAATCCTGCTTTTTAAGTTTGTGTTTCGCATTTAACTGTTCACCGATCTTGGTCTTTCTTCATCAAAAAAAGATGGTTCCCTACTATCCTTCCAGTTTTTATTAATGTGTTGGAGGGTTTTGAACCCATTTTTAGTGGTTTCAGCATTGTCCTTATATGAGTTTTTTGCTAGAGGCATGCCAATAATACGACCCTTTTAAAACATCTTCTCCACCAGCATATCACATTACATGTTTAAGACACTAGAAGCTACTCTCTGCGTTAGTTAGGGTTAAATAATTTGTTACTAGCTGAAACATAATCATCCCTACAGTGATTATCTAATAGGAATCTCCTAGCTAAATCCAGGTGTTTGTTTATTTTGTTGTTTTATTAATTATGTGTTACAGTAAATCACTAAAGTAAAGTGGCAAGAATAAAATTGTGAAATATTAATAAAATGTTAAATATGCAGAATTTTATGATGATTTAAGTGAAGTTTATTCATAAACTAATTTCGAGAGGATCATGTGCTTATGATTTATCACGGCCGGTCTCGCATTTGCTAATCACTATCTTCCAATCATATGAGCCCTAAGCTACTATAAATAGCCACAGTTTTCAGTTCACTTTATCTTCGTTTGGAAGAAACCCCCCTCCTCCCCTATTCTCCTCCTTTACTTCTGATTGGGCGGCACGGCGGCCCAGTGGTTAGCACTGTGAGCCCCACAGCAAGAACACTGCCAGCCCTGGTTCCACAGGACCGGTGGGTGTTTCTGTGAGGAGTTTGTATGTTTTCCACGTGTCCGCGTTGGTTTTCCCCGGGTTCTCCGGTTTCCTCCCACCATCCAAAGACATTCAACATACATAACAATCAAGCTTTGTCTAATCCCTTGTGTTCCCTTAGCTACCGCAGCAGGGGAGTTCTGAGATCCACCGAGCTCAGGCTCCCCTCTTGCTCTGCCAACGGGAGGAAGCCCCGGGCTCGAGGAGACCTTGAACTCGGGGCTCTCTCCCGGGACAGCATGCCAAACAAGCTTTTATAAATCATCAGCTAAGTGTGAACTCTTGAATTGTGCTTTAGACAATTCCATTCCCTTGTCCGTTTTCTTTCAAAGCTCCTCTTTTGTCTAAAAAAGAATGTGATTCGGTTTTGAAACAATTTAAGTGTTATTAAATCCCAGACAGAATACTAAAACCATTCTGTGAAATGAATCTGAACGTGTTTATGAACACCTCAAACATTATAGACACACACGCACACCCACAAGTGAATAAATATGCATGCTGGCATCCTGCGTGATGATCCATGGCTTGAGTGACAGCACTGGAAAATCGGTACGGAGATGCTCAGAGGTGCTCAGAAGGGAAGTGAATCAATGCGCTTTCATTTCCAGGAACACTCTTTTCTTTTACTCTCTCTCTCTGGGCTCCTGCTGCACGAGTGTCTCAGGTGTGAGGGCTGGTTATTACTTTATTGTGATGAAAGGGAAGAGGTGCAGGTGAAAGCACCAAAAAACCATACAGAATAAGCTCTCTCATGAAGATGCTGCAGAAATCTAGACCAAAGAAAAAGAAAATTGTGTCCTCGCGTTGGCCATTGTTGGGTTTGGGGGTCAGTGATGGATACAGGAAGCAGAGTGGGAGTTGCTATGGTGATGGATGAAGGCCAGAGATCAGGGTTTTTCTCAGTATGCTTTCTTTAAGGCAAGACATTCCAGATGAAGCGGGTAAAATATTCAAATGATCGGTAACACTTTATTTTAAGGGTCCAAAAAATGCATTAGTTTTAGCATTAGTTAATGGTTAATTTGTTCACAATTAAGCATTAGTTAAAACAAAACCACTAGTAATTAGTAGTTAACTAATCATATTAACGGCCCTGAATTATGCATTAGTTAAGCTCAGATAAACTTGTAAATCATGATTAACTTGTTCACAACCATGCATCAGTTAAGCATGAGCAAACACATAACTCATTATTAGCTGAACGCAAAGACATTTTAGCCATTATTTACAATTTGATAAACCGTTTATTATTTATTTGATTGTTTCACTTTAGGATAGGGGGTCAAATTGCTTTATTAACACCATATTAATCACATTTTAGCCTTAATTATTTGCTAGTTCTCGTCAATAGACTTGAATATCCCACAATAAGTGCCATACTTAACGTGGGTACAAGTTACACTTAAGAATAGGGGGTCAAGTTTCCTCTATAAGCACTGTGTTAATGACATTTTAGTCTTAATTAGCTACTAGCTAGTTGTAGTCAATGAACTTGAATATCACTCAAGTGCCATTATAAATGTGGGCGTAACTTTAACTTATGAGAAAATAGACTTTGTAATTGATTGACATTATATTTAAAATCTAAAGATACATTAACAGTTAGCAAAATAAATGCTTTAAAGTGTATTTTGGATGTTGCCTTACAATATGAAAAGCCTGAAATCTCAACATTGACAGGTGCTTGAAAAACTGTGTTGCTGCCAGCAGCATCTGCCTTAATATTTCATAAACGCTCATTGTATCCGCAAATCCTGAAGAAAGATTTATGATCTTGTTTGTCTGTGCCTGCTATACATGTCTATTATAGATTTTTGTTCCATTAACAAAAAATGCTTAAAAATAACACCACAAATTGATGCGTTATTTACTATAAATGTCAAAAATGCTTTGTTAATTATTATTGGTATATATTGGTATATTCATTCATTCATTCATTCATTTTCTTTTTGGCTTAATCCCTTTATTAATCTGGGGCATAAAGTACTGTAAAGTACTTAAGTAAATAGACTTTTTTTGGCTACTTTGTACTTGTACTGAGTATTAAGAATAAAAGCAACTTTTACTCACTACTTGACTATTTTATTATATATTTAGTGAATTTAGTGAATTTAATATAATATATACTCTCTATATATAGTGAATTTAATACAGTTACTGATATGGCAAAAACCACTGCGACATGACAAGACTATGTTTTAGCTCAATTTTTTTTGCGCAACGTCAATAAATGTATCACTGAAATTATACATTTTGCGTCAGTTGCATTTAGCTGTGAGATTGTGATGTATTTTTCATTGAATTTATATTTAGTTTACGAAGTTTAAAAATAACAATGCTCCTATTTGTTTAATTTTAATACAGAGAAAAAAATCCTAATCAACTGAAAAACTACTCAAAATAAAAGTATTGCCCCCTCTGAGACTGAGAGGTGAATCACATGAAAGTCAGCACTGAATCTTTTTTACTACATTTACAGTTGTTTTTTTGAAAAATAGATTTTGCCTTTTTTGAACATTTAAGTTTGAATGAGATTTTTTGTTCTTTTTTATCTATTTTATTCAGCAATTTTGAAACATTGAGGTGTTCAATTTAATTACTTTAAGCCTTTTTTTGAGCCTACATTCAGCATGGGTATACTTAAGTTCTTTTAAAATCGGATACTTTAAAACTTTTACTCAAGTCTTATTGGAATTGGTGACTTGTAACATGTAATGGAGTAATTTTTACAGTAAGGTATCTGTACTTTTACTCAAAAATGGTTTTCAGGTACTCTTTAAAACTCTGATCTGGGGTCGCCACAGCGGAATAAACCGCCAACGTATCCAGCATATGTTTTACGCAGCGGATGCCCTTCCAGCTGCAATATATTGGTATATATTATAATCAATTATAAAAGTTGCATGATCGGTTATAAATGACATTAGATTTTAATTCTATTTTACCTATTTAATAGCTAAATAATACACATTTAATACCTATATAACACCTATTTAACACCAATATCATACCTATCTAATTCACCATTACCTCTCATTTTTATACACTCCATCTACAGTCTGTCATACTGTAAATGACACCTACACAAACACAACTCAGGTTTGCTGTTTCTCCATGAGCTCTCCCAGCAGTCTCGGCCCCCAGTGGGAACCTCTGGAGCTCCTTCAAATATCTCCATCAGAGCTTGAATGTTAACTGGAGCCCGGGGCTCTCCTCTGTTCAACCTTTCCATATTAGAAAGAGAGAGTGAGAGACATTTCTGAACACAGTGACCCAGCTGTTTGCAGGATTATCCCATCTGCAGACATACTTTGCTCAGTAAATGTTTTCTCAAGCACTCTGTGTGTACATGAGAGGCCTAAACTGTTTCAAATGGCAGTAATATCTTATTCTCTTCTCTTTGCAGGACTGCACCGTCTATGAAACCGAAAATAAGATCCTCCATGTGGTAAGTGTTTCTCTGTTCTCTTTTTTTATGCTCCAATATGAGGCTGATAATGAGCTCTAATGTTCCTCCTGCGAGCTCTGGCCCCATTTCTTCATTTACTGGAGGAATTGTGAGGATGCTCATCTGTGTGCCTCTTATATCTGTGTGCTCCAAAGTCCTGACTCATTTCATGATGAAAAAATGATTAGAAAAGACATTTTAATGGTGTTCGGTTCAATGAACCATTCAGAATTGATTTCAGATTTGAGTTCATCTCTGCATGTTTAGCCCATTTAACTTTTTTTATTATTGAGATTGTTGAAATAAGTTACTTTATAACTTTACATTTTTGCTGTTATTCATATTATTTAAATGTATGGTTTAATTTTTGTTGTAATTTTTTTTTCATTATTATATTTTACACATAACAATACTTACATGTTATTATAATATAATATTCCTTCATTCATTTTTTTCCAGCTTAGTCCCTTTATTCAGGGGTTGCCACAATGGAATGAACTGCCAACTTATCCAGCATATGTTTTACACAGCAGATGCCCAGCGGATACACACTCATTCACACACATACACTACAACCAATTTTGTTTATTCAGTTCACCTATAGCGCATGTCTTTGGATTGTGGAAGAAACCAGAGCACCCGGAGGAAACCCACGCGAACACAGGGAGAACATGCAAACTCCACACAGAAATGCCAACTGACCCAGCTGGGACTCGTCTTGCTGTGAGGCAACAGTGCTAACCACTGAGCCATGGTATTGCCCTTATATTATATTATATTATATTATATTATATTATATTATATTATATTATATTATATTATATTATATTATATTATATTATATTATATTATATTATATTATATTATATTATATTATCAATCATTAATTTTCCTTTGGCTTAGTCCCTCAGTATCAGGGGTCACCACAGTAGAGGTCTGCACGGAACAATTTTTTTAGTTCCGCTCCCGCAAGGTTTTTTTCCACACCTGACCGCTCCTGTTGTATATTTATTCATTCATTCATGTTCACCTGCTTCATCACCCACCAACCCGACCCAAACGTTTGCTCTAAATTTAAATTTGGTTTCCAAAATCTCACGTTTAAATTAGGTACTACCAAAAGAGAGTGATAACTGATAAAACTATGTTGTGCAAGGATTGTAGGCTAAATGTCAGTTTTGTTTGGCCCTATGTGATGAGACATGAGTGCCGCCTTAAACTAGAGGGTTCCAGTCTTGTGACTGCTAAAGGGTAAAACTTTGAGGTATTATCACATGCAAATGATAATTATTTTTTTTTATTTGTGTCTATGACTTAAGAAAAAGACTCCTATACATCAGACTTGACTGATTTGGGTATCCTGCCAATAAACTAACCGTCTTCTAATGCATATTTTAGTTCCAACCCCAATTAGACACACCTGAACCAGCTAATCAAGCTCTTTTAGGTATACAAAAACTTTCAGGCAGATGTGTTGAAGGACGTTTTTAGCTAAACTATCCAAGACACCAGCACTCCTGGACCGAGTTTGGACACCCATATTCTATTGCAAGCTGAAGGACAGCGCATCTTTAATTTGCTCTCCCATTTTGGTAAACCTGCTCTGAGGACTGTTATGCAGATAATGCATGCACAGACAGTGTAACAGTTGTAAGCACTGGCTGGACCGGTGGTCAATAAGAATGAAGAAATACTAGATATGCTGTTCCAAAATAACATCAGGACTGGGGAGCGCTATATTGTTAGACCGCCTGATCCTGTTCAAATTACACCAGAGTTACCATCCGCTACCACGTTCTATTTGTAATTACCCCCATACTGCAAGAAATCTGGTCAGGTCCTGCGGGTCCCACAGTATAGCCACAGGAATGCAGACATCTACACCACAGTGCAATGAACCACCAACGTTACAATATTATATTATATTATATTATATTATATTATATTATATTATATTATATTATATTATATTTATTATATTATATTATATTTATTATATTATATTATATTATATTATATTATATTATATTATATTATATTATATTATATTATATTACTTATCCTCACTTTGCAATTTGTTTTGACATACGTAAGATTCAAATGAGTACTTCTTTCACGTTTCAGCTATTAATTTCAATTTAATTTTAAGTTTGTTGGTTTTACTTTTTTCAGCCTTTCAGTTCAAGACTGAAAAATTAATAAACGAATGTTTTACATTTGTCACTTTAAAAATCCTCAGGTGGCTGTTTAGTGAACATGCATTCTGCTAGTTCATGCCCTCAGGTGCAGTTCTGTTTGCCGTGGCAGGAGACCCAGAGCTAGGCTCTTTGTGAGATCCTTGTCTCATACACACCAGCACACAGCAGTTTGTGTGTGTGTGTGTATATGTGTGTGTGGCAGGTCTCGTTGTCACCACAGACTGCTGGGCCGGGCACAGCTGTCATTCTTACTGAGTCCCACAGCTATAAATACCTTCACATTGCGCCTGCTAGCAGCAGATTTCATTTCCCAGCACCACCCCATCTCTGCACTGACTGTAGGAGGAGAAACAAACACACCAATGACACCAGATGAAAGCAGAAGCAGAGTGAGAGATGAGCCTATTAAACAAAGTGAATTAAAGTGCTACAGAACCATAAAAAGCAAACTTGAATCTGCAACACACCTGCAGAAATGCAGCACAGAGAAATCCAGGTGCACTTTTTTATTGGCAACACAACAGTACATTGATGGGTGGTGGGTGGGTGAATGGGTAGACGGACGGATGGATGGATCGGTGGGTGGATGGGTGAATGAATGGATTGATGCATGGATTTTTGAATAGGTGAATGAACAGATGAAAGAATGAGTAGATGCTGTACATTGATGGAGCAACAGATGGATGGATGGACGGATAGATTAATGGATAGATGTATAGATCAGTAAATGCATAGATGAAAGGATTGTCAAACAGACAGATGAATGAATGTATAGATGAGCAGATGGTTGGATATACTGTTCAGATATATGGATATAGATGGATAAACAGATAAAAGAATACCAAATTTGATGGAGGGAGGGATGGATGGATGATGGATGGATGGATGGATGGATAAATTAACAGATCATTGGGTGAATGGATGGAGAAAGTTGATTAACTTGGTTGATGGAAGAATAAATGGATGGATGGATGTTTAGAGATGTACAGACAGAAAACTAGATGGATGGATGGATGGATGGATGGATGGGTGGATAAATAAATTGATAGATGTATGGATGATTGGATAGATGAAGGGGTTGTCAAACAGACAGATGAATGGATGTATAGATGAGCAGATGGAGAGGTGGATGGTTGGATAGACCAATGTTTGGGTGGATGGAAGGGTGAATAGATTCATTGATGAATGGATGCATGGAAATAGATATGTATATAGATAGAAATATAGAGATTAACTGAGGGGTAGATTTATAGACATGGATGGATGAACAGGTAAAAACGCAAAAATGGGTGAATGGATGGATAAATGGTCAGTCAAAGATGTACAGACAGATAACGTACATGAATGGATGAAAAAATGGATATGGATGGTGAGATAGATGTATGGGGTGTCAAACAGATGAATAAATGTATAGATGAGCAGATGGAGATATGGATGGTTGAATATTACGGGTGGATAGACAGATAAAAGGATTAATAGATTCACGGATGAATGAATCTATTGAAATAGAAATGGATATAGATGGACAAGTAGAGAGATTAATTGATGGGTAGATATATAGACATATAGATGGATGGACAGATAAGAGAATGCAAAATTGGATGGATGAATGGATCAATAGATCAGTGGGTGAATGGATGGAGTAAGTTGGTTAGATAGGTGGATGGGTGAACACATGGATAGATGGATGGATGAATAGATTCATGGATGGATGGAAGCAAGGTAACAGATGTGTAGCTAGACAGAGAAATTAATTTATGGAAGATATAAAGAAATAGATGGATGAACAGATAAAATGATGGATGGATGGATGGATGGATGGATGGATGGATGGATGGATAGATAGATAGATAGATAGATAGATAGATAGATAGATAGATAGATAGATAGATAGATAGATAGATAGATAGATAGATAGATAGATAGATAGATAGATAGATAGATAGATAGATAGATAGATAGATAGATAGATAGATAGATGGATGGATGGATGGATGGATGGATGGATGGATGGATGGATGGATCTATGGATATTATTTTTATCTTATTTCTTCCATACTGTATTGAAAAAGTTTGTTGAATGCCTCAGCAGTTCTGTAATTTACTTTGCAGTCATGCCAGTAAAGCACTTGTTGAGAGAAATGTGGAGAGTGCAGGAATAGTGCAGTGTATAAGAAATGAAACAACATTGATTCTCACCACTCTCATCCTGAGTGAAGCACACCAAAATAAAGGACATGTGAAATCTGATCATAAGATAGTGAAAGACAAAAAGAATTAGAGTAGAAGGAGGACTGATGAACACAGGAGAAATGACTTGCTTACAGAGCAACAGATTTGGTCATGTTTTTTGTCAAGTCAATTTAGTTAAGAAGCACACTTAAAATACTAATGTTTACAGTACACTGAAAAAAATGACTTCTGCAAAATTATTGCAAACAATTTATAAGGGCTCGATTTAAACCAATACATTAAATTTAGAAATGTTCAACTTAATATGTTTGATTAAATTCAGCCCAAGTGTGCCGCAAGCCTGCGTTTGAGTGAAGGTCTCGGCCGTTAGATCGCCCCCGGGGGCTGGCTGCAGTACAAGTCATAAAGCCCGCCTCCTCCTTGTTAATGAAGGAGACTTGGGCCCAAATAAAAAAATTAATTACACTTGCAATAAACTGTCCCGAAAGATGGTTCTGGTCGATTAAAGCATTGGTTATTGTGCTGAAATAGGTGCAGATCTTCATTTTTGTAAACAGTTTGTTTTTAGCAGTAATTTAATGTTGGGCGTGTCATCGTGATTGACAGTTGTGATTGACAGTTTCTCAAAGCAGCGCGTCTGTGCTTCGGTTGAAGACTGAAGTGTTATTATTCGATTTCTGTGTTATTTTACCATGACAAAATGAGTTCAGCAGTAAACTACAATTTCTGACATACATGATCCTGGTGGAAAACTGTTTATTCGCTAAGGTCAGGGCTTTTTTCGGGCTTTATTAGTTTGCTGATACACGTACGCCTAGCCACCCAGATAGCAAAATACAGTAGGGCCAGTTCCAGCTAGATTCCAGCCGGAGACTTAACCGTCAGAGCTCAGACTGACTACCTCTGCTGGACCTACTCCGGCTGCCTGGACTCACTGCCCGATTCCAGCCCGAGTCAATCGAGCCAGATGCGGCGGCCGAGCGAGCCAGCGCTGCCGCATGCGAGCCGGAATCAGCCTGCGACGCCGCGAGTAGGTTATGCGCTGCGCCTAGAGCTGGCGCGATTGGATATATAAAACCCTCATATTTGTTAACGTTATTACATCCATTTGTGTTGATATGACAGCGAACACATGCTGAGAAGTTCGGGGGGCGTGGTTGATTTTACATAAAGCATTTGGTTGGAAGCTCGACTCCGCTCATTTTCGCGGCTCCTCCTCTGGCTCCATCAGACAGTCCTTCTGCGCATGTCAAGGCTCCAATTTCAGCAGTCTTTTGCGACAGTTTGTGCCCGTCAAGCAGGCGTTTTGCCCTCAAAGCGTTCAATGGGAAAAGGGGCTGTCGCGTCGTCCATATTTTTTACAGTCATTGATTCAGCCTAAATAAATAGTTTGCAACCACTTACCTTAAAAAAGTAAATCCCAACAATCATCTTTGAATATTGTTTTTCAGTGAACCAAAGTGCTGTAAAAGACAAGTAATAGAAGATTAAACAGAGGAAACTAGTAAAATAACTGGTAGACAGGACTTTACACATTAAAGTACCAATATTAATATAATGCCATGAAATACAAATACAAATACTCCAAGTCAAGATTTAACTACTGAAATTGTTTAGGAATGCAATCGAATGAGGAGCTCTAATGTTCAGAAGTAGACTGTTCCATAATCTAAAACCATCTAGCAGAAAGGCATGTTCTAAACTAAATTAAAAGCTAAACAGTTTTCAATTCAGATTAGTTCACTGTACTCTCTGTAGTACACTGTTCACTCTTAGGTTTAGTTTAGTTTAGTTTAGTTTAAAAAGTAGGCTGAAGCCCATTTTTTTCCATTGTATTCATCTACTTTTTTAGTTCAGGCCAAGATTTAGATGGCAGCTTTCACACTTAACTTAGCTAACCACACTGCAAAAAAATGCAGGGTTCCACACAATTCATTCATGTTCTCCCAACACAAATAGATTGTTACCTTAACAAATTTAAGTGGATTGAACATAAAACAATTAAGTTATACCAAAAAAATATCTCAAAAAAATTGTGTTTTAGCTGATTTTAAATAAGTAGTTAAATAATAAGCAACATATTTATTTTGAGAGCTCAAGTTTGTTCAAATTGAGCCAAATCTGCCAAGTTTACACTTTTTTTTCTTCTTTTTTATAGCAAAGTGCTTGCCACTGGAAATAGCTTCAGAACTGCAGCCGTTCATGAAATCTGAGTTGATATGCCCTCTGTGTTTTCTCTTTTTCTAAAGTGTAAAACTCTGTCTGGAGTTTGTGACCACATCATCTCACTGTCTTCAGACCCTCTGGTCTCTCAGTCGGCTCATCTGGAGGTGGTCCAGCTGGCTAATATCAAACCTACAGAGGGTCTGGTAAGATCATGCAATTATACTGTGCTGCTGACCACTGGTCTGATTATTGCTGTTTTTATTTCAGTTATTTAAGTCAGTTATACAGGTGAGGTTCATCTGATATTAATTGAAAATTCTGGAAACATAGGAATATAATTTTTTTGTAATACAATAATGATAGTTTTTTTAGGAAGACAAGTCTTTAAAAATTGTTGAATTGTTTGGAAACAACTTTTGGTTAAACTTTATTTTAAAGTTATAAATTTACTACATTGTAACTATTAATTTGCTGAGTAATATTATTAAATTAATCAGATGTACTAGGGCTGCACAATATATTGTTTTAGTATAGAAATCGGAATATGCACATCAGCAAAATCAAATCGCAGGATCTGCAATGTGGAGTCAGGATTATATTTGACCAGGAGCCATAATTGAAAGCATGTCTGATTTGATTTCGAAGTTGAACTATAAAGTTACTAAAATGCTTATCATTTGAATGTGTTTTTAAGGCCTGTTACTGTGTGAGCATTTCAAGTCAGTTTTAAGCATTAGGGCACAAGAAATTATAATGTTTATTACTTTAGGAAAGATGAATTATATTTATGCATATATTTATACAATAAAGTGTTTTACATTTAATTGTTACATTTTTAATGCTACCAGACTCAAAAAAAAAAAAAAAACATAAAATACTGTTTGCTTCATTTGTATCTGTTTTTATCAATGCTTGTGGTTGTTGTAGTATATTTTATGATGCACTCCCCTGCTACTGTAAATCATCCTAATAAATCTAAAATTATAAAGTCTTTTCATGAAATTATAAATTCATCCAAATAAAGGCAATTATTTTATCTGGTAAAATTATGCTTTATTTCTCTGTATCGTAGAAAAATAAAATATCGCAATGTCATTTTTTTTCAATATCGTTCATCCATCATGTTCCAGTATCGTTTTTTCCAATATCCTGTCTTAACATGTACTTACTATATATGTTTAGTGTTAGTTATGCATAGGTTTAATGATAGTTATGCATAATTAACTTAAATTACTATAGTGACTTCATGTAATGTATGTAATAAGCGTACCTTAAAAGAAAATAGTTACTCGACTTTTTGTTAACTATAGGGTAGCTTAACTAAAGATTGTTGTAAATAAGCGCAACTATATATAGTTCAGCTAACGGATTCAAAGTCATTTCCCCAACACTGATCTGTGCCCTAATAAGCATGTGTTTGAACGCTTGCTTGTTCTGATACATGATCAAAAAACGTTTTTTTAGTAAACATAATTTCACTTCTCTCCATACACACTGATGAAAAGGCTACATATTGTGAAGTGTTTGCATGAGATGGAATGAGAAAAAATATGAGGACATTATTCATTATGCTCTAATATTCGTTTTATATGTGTCTATTTTTCTAAGGGAATGTACATCAAATCCACATATGATGGCCTTCATGTTATCACAGGAACCACAGAGGGGGTAAGAGCCTGGCAGTGTTAATGTGTGTGCTCTAATTCATGTGTCTTTATAATGTCCATGCAGGCTGTAGATATAAGTAATGAATCTCAGCAATTGATTGTACAGCTATTACTGCACACATTCAAATCAAAGAGCAAGAGATTGAGCGAGAGAGACAGAGATTGAGAAAGAGAAAGCAGAAGTGCTCTAAAAAAAGATTCACTTACCATGCAACTGAAAGCTCTTCATTTTTGTTGTAGCTCTAATAGTGGGCGAATAATATTACCTGCTATAGAGCAATATACAGTACTCATAGAAAAGAGAGAGCCCAATATATATTTCACAGGGGAGTGATGGTACAGAAAAAGGATGGTTTGATACTTACCTTGGATTTTAAGTCAACTCGTGGCTCTGTTTTTAAATTAATTCAAATATAGTTTAAATTTTCTTCAGGATTAATCTTAGCTAACGCTGATGAGTAGTCAACTCCAAAAAAGTAGATTCCTCGACTCTCAATGGACCTAGTACCGACTCCAGGACAGGAATCGACTCCCAGAGTCGAGTCTGTTTTTTAAACCCTTCTGAATGAAGCGGATGCATGCTACAGTTATAATGCTCGTTCTTGAGCACGATGAACATCCAAGGCGCCCACATTGAATGCATGTTTACACGTTTTATGCTTTTAAATTTCACAACCAATGTACTCTGGGCTATTATAAATAGTGCTGCGAGACGAGGTTTGCTTTCACTTTTAAATTCCAATGAAACACCTTTTTGCAATTTGGTTTTAAAAATGATCTGCCTGCGATGTTAAGTTTGTGGTTTTATGAATTACATATAGCATATGTGTGTAAATTTGGAGCAGATCGATGTCTTACGGGACTGCAAGTAAAATTACATGTTATGTCATTGGTTGCTGCTATATGCTCAAGTAAAATGCTTAACCCTTTGCCTTTAAAAAAATACAGAAATTAGCAACCGCACCCTGTCCGCTACTCCAAATTATTTCGTTCACTCAGCACTCTGGATTCAAGTATCATATTTATTATTATCATATTTATAAATATAATTGGTTATTGATTTATAACCCTAATACATTGATTTTCTGTTATCTTACTTTTTTTCAGCATGCTTATGAGCATTGATACATTCTTAATATTCCATGCCATATTTCAGTTGTGCATTTGCACTGATATTAAATGGAGATAACCAATGGAGATGCTGATGTTGATGTGTTTTTCAGATTTACATCTTAAATCTCAAGAGCTTTAGAAGAGATCTGTCACAAACTGTTCAGATTTGACATAATACCAAAGTGTGCAGATGCAGAAGTCTGAGATTTGAACATGATCGCATTTCTCATCAAGTTCATGCCAGACTAAATCTCATGAGCTGTTAAATTCAAATTAATGTTGTATCTCTGCTGTATACTCATTTTTTATTTACCAAAATTATCATACACACACAAAAATTTACCTTTTGATCAGTTCAGCTGAAAAACTTGACCATCCGAATTTCATGGTACTGTAATATATCTGTAATGTGAAGTTGGACACTGACAACAGGAAGTGCGGATCCAAACGCAGGTTTATTAAATGGAATGGTCAGGCCAGCAACAGTCCACACAGGAGCAAACAGATGTATATGGGCAATCCAGAGTCGTAGTCAAAATAAACAGGCAGATGGTCAAAAGGCAGGCAGCAGACAAGAAAAAAACAAAAAAAACAAAGCAAGGTTCAAACACAGAAGGCAACGAAACCTTGTTGTAATGTTCACAGTTCAGTATAACAAGACTCAGACATGAGAGAGGCAAAGTGAGCTGTATCTACGTGTGTGTAATCAGTACATGAGCAGCATCAGCTGTGGGAGTCAATCAACTTAGACTTGGAGCAGGTGTGTGTGTGTGTTGCAGGACTGTATCTTGTAATCAGTATACCAGCAGATCTGTAGTTCTCCAGCGATCTGCATGGGCTAGATTGCTGGTGACTGTGACAATATCAATACAAAACGGGTAATATGAAATGTATTAAGTATGTATTGTTTGTAATCTATAACGACTTGATAACATTTTTAATTTGAAATGTACTTTTACAAATGTCCTTTTCCAATTTTTCATTACTTTAAAAATTGTTCTGATTTATTGTATTTATCAAATAAATATACCTTTGGTGAGCATAAGAAACTTAATGACCCGTTTCCAGTGATTGGTACAGTAGGGGTCTGTATGAGTCAATTTTATCAGGCTTTTTCACTGTCAAAAGGGTACTCGTTATTGTATGTATATATCATTACGGTGTAATGTTTCGGCTGTGTGTTAAAAAATGTTGCTTTTTTTCTTTCCCCTGGCTGTGCATGATTTAGTGACGTATCTCTGTAAACCAATAGTGTTAAGCTGCACATCTCGCTCCGTCTTCAGCACTCTTTTATTGTGCTAGGTACCCTTTCGAATGGGTACCCAAAAAGTGGGAACAGTTTGCTTTTTGGTACCTCTTGACAGTGGAAACGGTCATAAAAGTGTACCAAACCGTACTGTACCACTCAGTGAAAACAGGCCATTATTTAAAAATTCTGAATTACTCTAAGCTAATTTCTCTTTAATCCATTGTAAACTGACTTGTTCAATACACCGTAGGTCACATTTTACAAGAAGGTTTCATTAGTTAATGTTAGTTAATTAAATTACTGAGATGAACTAATAATGAACAATACTTGTACAACATTTATTAATCTTAGTTACTTATGCATTATTAAAATCCAAATATATGCTTGTTAACCTTAGTTAATGCACTGTTATGTCGAGTTCAGGCTGCACGTTTTTCAAAGTAGTCCTGTCACAGATGTTTCATGGCTGTCTGGGCTAGCGTTCTGTCTGTGCTGTTTACACTGTAAGATGGATCAGCAACAGGGGGTTTCACACTGCATGGCATTACAATAGGAAGAATTGTTGACAACTTTGTCTTGGTCCACGAACTACGTCTCACAACCAAACACATGTGAGAAGTGACATGAAAACAACGCAAGGTCACATAGTATATCTTTTGTGATTAACTACAAAATGAGAAAGAAGCCTTTAGTGGGCTATAAAAAAAATTCTCACCTGGGTTTTGAAAGGAATTAGCTATTTCTCTCCAAAAAATTTTTTTCGACCCAGTTGTGATATTGACATGTCAAATAGACACGGGTGCTCCTGCCAAATTTCCACTAGTTTTTCCTGAATTTCTCTGGTCTAATAAGACAGAAAAGAAGCCTTTTTAACTTCTCCCCAACCTCCCGCTGACTTTCAGATACCCATACTAGTGGATGCTGCTCTCTCATTGGCTGTAGATAATTGTTGATGTTATTTTCAATCAGAAAACAATTTACACGGCATGATTGGAATCCAATCAGCTCCAGATACTTAGCATGCCAAATATCTCACAGGTGTCCGCGACTCATCTGCGATTCTCTCAGATCACATCTTTGATAGTTCACACTGTATGATTGTTACTCAAGTTAATGAGCACTGATTTGCCTGTGATTTCAGGCATTTGTCTGTGATTTCTCAAAACCAGTCGGCCAGTCAAAATCAGGGCTAAAATCATGCAGTCTGAACTCAGCATAAGTTAACATGAACTAACACTGAAGAACTTTATTTCTAATAACTTACATTAATGAAGGTGAAGAAATGCTTTAATAATTGTTTTGTTTTCATGTTAACAGTAACTAATACAACCCTATGGTAAAGTGTTTGCCAAATGTAAAAGTTGTGCATGAAATAAAGCAGTCCTGCCCTTTGTTTTAAATTCATTTATATCCCCCTATTGTTCCGTCTTTTTATATCTCTTTCCATCTCGCTCTTAGTCTCCAGCAGACCGCTGTAAAAAGATCCACGCAGGTGATGAGGTTATTCAGGTCAATCATCAGACTGTGGTGAGTTTCAGCTCTTCTCAAGTCACTCCGTTTGCTTCATTTATACTCTTTCATCCATCCATCCCTCCATCCATCCATCCATCAATTATTTCCCCCTATGTATGTAAATCTCACTTGGCATCTGACTGCATGTTTGTGCATATGAATTATAGGACTGAAAATGAGGTGCATTTGAATTTAAGGGCTTTATGTCCTTGTTAAAGTACCAGGAGTTTTCAAACCCCATTACTTGATGTATTTTTAGCTCGTTTCTTGGACTGGAGCGACTATATTCCAATTTGCCTAAATTCACAATGCTGATTGAGTGTTACACTTTAAATGGCATTTCTGAGTGTAGCCGGAGGGTGTTTAAAGGGCATAAGAGGATGTAAATGAAGGGCATTGAGTGTGTTTTTTAAGGATGGTTATATTTTTTTTCACATGCACAAGTACGTCAATAAGTGCTCCAGTGGCTGTTCTACGTGGAGTTGCCTTCAAATAATTGATAGTGCTTTTTTTGCGTGCATTTGTGTCTGAAGTAAGTGCAGATGGAGTTGTGAGCTTGTGAAATGAATTCTGTTTGAGTTTGAGTTGTGTTTGATGTGCGGGAGGTTCTGAATAATTCTTTGAATATTTTAATTTCATCCTCAAGTTCCCCCTCTTCATCATTTCTGTTCATTATAATGGCTTGTTGATTAGGTTTAAAGGGACTGTTCACCTGAAAATGAAAACGCTGTCACCATTCGATCATCCTCAAGTTGTTCCAAACCTGTTAGAGTGTCACTAGAAGAAGGTTTTTTAAAAAATGTGAACAGTTGATGATTTCTATTCAGGCTATTTCCATGAAAAAAAAAAGATGCTCATACACACACACAGTATGGCTGCATTGGTATCGCAATGTGTGCATTTGCAATAGTCAAATTGCGGTGGATATGCGATGTTGACTTGGGATTGCTTCAATGTTGATGCAGAGTTTAAGCACAATGAAGGGACATTTATTAATATGAATGTTTTTAAGGCCTGATAGAGATGAAAATATTCAGGCGCAAAAAAAAAAAAAAAAAAAAAAGCCAAAAAAGTTTAATCAGGAATCATTTTATTGAATTAATACAGTAAAGACTTTACAGTGTAATTTTTACATTCACATATACAAAACCATTATGAATGCACTGTTTATTTTACTCTCAATATCTTTATCTTTGCTTAATTGCATTCATCTATGCATTATTACATTTTATGCGTGATTCACTCCCCTACAGAATCATCTTAATCAATTAAAATTATTACATATGATAAGACTTTTGGGACTAATTCTCACTATTAATATGTTGCTTATTAGTAGCATATATGTTATTGAGATATTGGCTGCTTATTAGTAGGGTCAGACAGAATCTGCAGATATTTTTTGCTATTTCTGCTGAGTATTTTGTAAAAAATCTGCGGATTTATGCTGAATTATTTTAGGATATCATAACTAAAAACTTATTATATGAAATAAAAAATAATTTAATGTTTACGATGCAAATCCTATTAGATTCACTTATTTGATGGAATTCTCTTTTAATATAACTACTAAAAGACAAAATATAACTTTACAAACTGTATTGCATATAAATCATGAACATTTTAATATTACTATTATTATAACAATAATATTTGTGAAATAAATGTAAAATCTGAATAAATTTAAATTTACACAGATTTACATAATTACATCGACTCGATGGGCTAAAAATCTGCGGAAATCTGTGGATATCTGCGTAAGCAGATTCCGTGTGGGCCTACTTATTAGTAATCATAAACTAAATATTCTGCATGATCAAATTCTACATGCCTAATTCTTCCCAATACCCAAAATAATATCTATTAATAAAGAGCTAATTAGGAGTTTATTGAAGCAAATGTCAAATTTTAATTGTTTGTTCAGATCAAGAATTGAACATTAAAATAAAATGTGGCTATAAATACATTCTAAATAGTGCTATTCAATCATTTGGTGAAATTGTATAGATAGAGTATATCACAATATATACATCACAGAAAAACTAAATCTCAATGTCAGATTTTTCCAATATCGTTCAGCCCTGATACACAGTATTAAGTAAACATGATTTGAGTGCCCAATACTGACAATACCTCTAAAAAACAACAACATAGAAACTGTTTCTACCCAGCAGACACACAATGTCATAAGACATTAATATTAGATTAGGTTTAGGTCACCAGCACCAGGACAATGTTATCCAATAACAAAGTTAAATGATTTTGCTATTTTGTTGATTTTAGGTTGTGTTGGAAAATGACCAAAATCCAACGTTTAGCCAACATCTTAATCCAGCATTATATTGACATCAAATACTGACATTTATTCATCGGGTACGGCAACCAAAATCCGTCTTATAGACGTTACGTTATAGTCAGTAATGTCCACACAACGCCAAGCTTTAACATCATTAGACATTGATATTTTGTTGTTTTTAGGTTGTGTTGGAGGGTAACAAAAATTGAAGATCTATCCGACGTTGGACATTGACATCGGCCTGACTTTGGGTTCTGGTGTCGATACGATTTTCATTCCCTAACAAAATGCAATGTTCCATGACTTTAAGGTACAACGTCAATATGACGTCATGTTGACATCATGTGTCTGCTGGGTATTAACAAAAAAACAAAACAAAAACATGCAGTGCATTTCTGGTGACCTTCAGTTTTAGTTTTGGTATGTTTGATATGTAAAATCAAAAAATGAGTCCATGCATTTATTCTAAAACCCAGTCCTATATTTGCATTTAAAAAACTCCTGTTTACTTTTAATCAGAGTACTTTACTAACAACATACGTTTAATCCAAACATGGCCTCATTTAGAGAAAATTTGCATATGTTTACTTCAAATTTCTTTCTAGAGATGTTTGCTTTTTCTATTTTTACCCATAACCATGGAAAGTGAGCATTATGGTGTGCTAAACAATCCAGTGTAATGTTTGCTTAATTCTTTCTAGAAGCCAGAGGACACTTATGTGCAATTAGGCTACATGTTAATGTTTTCATTTACATTATTGCTTAATCAATGTAAGCAACAAAAGAACAATAACTAATTGTTGCAATTTTCATTTAGTCTAATGAAGTAAATGTAGGATAGCTATTATGAAGGATGTAGAGAGCTATTGGTCGATGATCAAACAAGACAAAAGAAAAAAACAGAATATAAAATAGTAAAGGGTTGTATAGAAATTAGTAGACATATTAGAGAATAAATAGAAAAGTGTCATTAGCAAAAAAATCAGAGTGAAACAATTTAAGTTAGAATAAAAAAAGAATAAATAACGAATCATACATCATACAGTAATATTAAATTCTTAATATAAACAAAGATATCCAGTTGTCACTGTCATTAATTCTAAAAAGCAGATAGAGATAGTTAACCTACAAAAAAATAAAGATAGTAAACACAACCACAACAATATATAAAGTATAACAATATATAATATTAATCAACATTTAATGTGTCTTTAAAATATGCATTTTCTGTTTACCTTTGGTAATAATTCATATTTGCTCACAAAGAAAGATTAATTGATGAGTTATGCTTTAAATTTAATGAACATTTTAATGAAAAGAAAAAAAAAACATGACAATAGTCTTAATACAATATAAAATATAATAACATGCTAGCTAGAAATCACTTGTTGCCATATTGTGATTAATTTTGTAAACAGAAATTCAAAAGAAGGTGAAATAAGTTGATTCACTGAAATTTGATATTTAAAAAGTTTGAAAGGCCAAAGACCCAGAACAAAGGATTCAGTGCAGAAGAACTTACTTCCATGTTTTGCAATATGAATTCATTGGGGGTAAAATTATTTGTGTACCCATGTGTTTTCTTTTTATGTTTACCAAATAAAAGAAGTGTATACATGTTTGGAACAATCAATTATGACAGAATTAAAAATTTTAAGTGAGCTATCCCTTCAAGATGATCTTTTGGTTTTACTTGAATGCATCAGATTTCAGCTTTCACATGAGTTTATCATCTTGTCGGCGTGATGGGGGATGCTGAGCTGTTTTTGCGATGAAAGATCAGCAACATTAAGGTCTCGTTAATCCTCATGTAATTAGATTGTTGTCACCTTTATAATTGGATAAAGGCCTCTCTAATGTGCGATGAGCGATACGAATTCGGCTTGTAGCGAAAAACACAGACAAACAATTACCATCACAATGAGCGGTTTGTGCTCTCCAACAATCTCAGCGGGCATTAAGAATGGTGCATTGTGGGAGCTGCTCTATGTGTAAACTCCCCATAGCCTACAGGATCAGGTTCTGTATTACCAGCCCATCTCTGTGTGTGTGTATGTGTGTGTATTTGTGGTTTTATCTGTCTGTGAAGGGCATGCTTAGTTTAAACTGTGTGTGTGGATTATGTTTTGCCTACATCATGGGAACCAAATGTCCCCACAAAGATATTAAAAGATCGTACAACTTCAAACCACCTACATTTTGGGGACCAGTTATACTCTTAAATAATAATACTGAAGTATGTCATAATGGTAATTGTAAAATGTTTTCTCTGGTTTAGGGGATAGAAAATCACATTAGCTCTACATAAAAATTAAACAAACAAACTAACAAAATAAAATAATTAAAAGTTGTCATGACTGTGTTAAAGATTTCCTGTAAAATCTACAGTAACTTACTGGCACGGTTCGCCAGGAACTGTAAATCAAATACAGCAAAAATACTGTTTTACATTTACAGCGTCATGTATGTATTTTCAGTATTGTATATTTTTACTGTAAAACAAACAGTAATTGTCACATTACAGCTTTAAAATACAGTAACATACTGCATAACTGTCCTACAGTAAAATACAATTCAAATTACAGTTAAATACTTTGTAATTTACAAAAATTGTTTACATTGTATATTACAGTAGTAAATGCATACATTTACAGCATGGAGCCAGCAACCTCAGCTGCCATTGGATTGCTGTTTTTTTTTTAAGGGAAATATTTCACAGTGCAATGAATGTGCGCAAAACTTATTCAGACACACATGCATACTCTCTGCATTCATATTTATAGTAGGTCACTTTTTAGTAATGGTTGTATGCTGTATCTAAAAAAACTGTATCTTACTGTTCATTTAAAAAAGCAAATTAGCAATTTAAAAAAAATCACTCGAAAAAAAAGTAAAAATAAAATTTAAAAATAAAAGAAGGTACTGTATTTTTACAGTATAAGGCCGGAAACCACAGATGTTATTGGATTACTGCTTTTTTAAAGGAAAATACTTTACAGTGCAGATTGTGCATAAACTGATTCAGGCACACATGCATCCTGTCTGCATTCATATTTAGGTCCCTTTTTAGTAACAGTTGTTTGCTGTATCTAACAAAAACGGTATCTTACTGTTGTTTCAAAAAGGTAAATAACAAAAAATACATAAATAAATAAATAAATAAATTACCATACTTTTACGGTTTTAACCACAGCTGCCATTTGGATATCTAACAAAAACAGTATCTTACTGTTAACTTAAAAAGGCAAATTAAATTAAATTAAAATAAAGCCGGCAACCACAGGGAAATATTTTACAATGCAGGGAATGTTGAGAAACTGTTTCAGACACATGTGCATACTGTCTGCATTAATATTAAGGTCACTTTTTAGTAACAGTTGTACGCTGTAGCTAAAAAAATAGTATTTTACTGTTCATTTTAAAAAGGCAAATGACAACACAATAAATAAATAAATAGATAAATGTATATTTGTAAACTGGTAATGATTTCCTGTAGAATCTACAGTTACTTTAACTGTAGTTCGCCAGTAACTTACTGTTAATCAATGTCAGCAAAAATACTGTATTTACATTTGCAGCACCATTGATGTATTTTTAGTATTGTATATCTTTACTGTAAAATAGACAGTAATTTTACTTTAAACTTTAAAATACAGTAACATACTGTCTAAATAGTAACATAACTGTCCTACAGTAAAATACAGCTCATATTACAGTTAAATACTGTGTCTTTTACAAAAATCGTTTACAGTGTATAATAGAAAAATACATATTTTTTTGTGTTTGTACATGTAAACATTAATTTCACCTCTTAGACATAAAGAAAGCTAATATGATATTAATATGTTGTGCATTTAAACTGTAGTGATTATTGAGTGTGTGACGTTTTATTATAGAGTTAATGTTTCCAGCTATAAACTCTTACATTTTGTGTTAAGTGTATATTACACAAAGTTTTAATGGACTGATTGGATTTTAAATATAAACAACCTGAACCATGGTTTATAATTTTATTTAATTGTATTATTTTATTTTATTTAATTTCCTTTACTTATATTTAAATTGCATTTATTAATTGAATTAAATTAAATTTCATTTCTTTACACTAATTATTTAATAAATTAATCGCTTTACATAATTTACAGCACTTAATCATTGTTAAATTACTTGTTATACTTTGCACATAGTGCTAGACTAAATGGTGAAACATTATGAATTCATGTATTTTAATAATTCATCTCTAATGTAAACATCTTTAAAAATGTAGAGCTTGCACACAGTGTGTCACATTATTTTAGCATTGCGTTTATACAGTTGCTTCTAGCTATTAGCTTCACTTGGAGACTCAGTAGGCATTTTTACAACACTATAACAAGAACTTTAACAATTAAAAAAGATTTTATCTTTTATTTATCTTTGATTTATGGAAATAGATTCTTTTATTTCAACCTTATTTTTTACGTTAGAAGATTGCTTCATTATTCATGCTTTGCAATGTAAAATTCATGAACCAACTTTATATAAGATGAGCCAAAGGCTCAAATATTGACATTTCCAAGCGATGGAATGTCAAGTCTTATCCTAGACTTTAATGAAGACTCAATTGAAAGATTAGCAAACATCATGCCTCATTAGTGTACACTCATTCCACATAGTAAACTTAATCAACATATACTGTGTGTCAGGAAGTGTGTGTTTGTGTTGTAGAGTTATTACTCTCTCTCCATATTCACAATAGGCGAATATAGAGAGATGAATTCTACCATTAACTAGCAGCTGCCTGTCGAGTGATGTCTCTGTGTGGCGTTCTTGTCGAGTCTGTGTATGTTGACCCTGTGTTTGTTGCTGTAGGTGGGCTGGCAGTTGAAAAACTTGGTAAGCTCTCTGCGTGGGGACCCTGCCGGTGTGACATTGACCCTGAAAAAGCGTCCCCAGAGCACCCTCACCTCCGCCCCAGCCCTACTAAAGAACATGAGATGGAAGCCCTTGGCCCTGCAGGTAGGATTCCGACTGCCCTGTCCCCAAAACTTGCATCATTTTGGGCTGTACTTCCCCCGTTTGCCACCCGCTTCCTGGCTTCATCTCAGATAGGGACCTGGCACTGACTCCACCTGATGCACCTGATGATGCACCTGCCTGCTTATGTGTCGCTTTCCATTCAAACGTCCTACCTTCTAACCATAAATTATCAAGTCGACAGTTACATTTTGAACTGACTCCACCTGATGCACCTGATGATGCACCTGCCTGCTTATGTGTCGCTTTCCATTCAAACGTCCTACCTTCTAACCATAAATTATCAAGTCGACAGTTACATTTTGAAAATGTAACAGTACCACCTGTACTATCAGAATTTTTTGGAAATTAGTCGAGCAATAAATTGATTCGGGTTCCGTTTCCATTAAGGATGTTTACTAAATTCTCATGCAGTAATATCAATAAACTCCGGTCAAAAAACTCTGTTGCTCCGTATTTCTATCTTTCACTTTTGCATCCCGTAATATAACTTAAAACAGTCCAATAAAGGTGGAGCAAACCATCACAAACAAAGGAGTAGGGGTGCAATTAGCAAATGTATACAACTGAACATATCATAATATGTAAACTGTACTTGAACACTAAAAATAAATATCAAATATAATTATATCAAATTATGACTCTTACACCAACCTTTTTGCAGTACAGGTAGTACCAAACCAATTCTACTCATAGGCGGTTGGTTATTATGGAAGGCGATGGAGGACAAAAATCTGCAATCAAATTGTTTTAAGGTGGAAATTTTGAATATGCCATATGATGGCTGTTTTGGCTGCACTTTTTATTAAAAATGCAGCAATATGGAAATGTTAGCCAATATAAATAACTGATAACTAGGCACACACAGAATATGCACCCACAGAAATCTGCAGATTTCCGCAGGCTATTTAGCCTATTATTGAGTTTATTTATTTACTTGTGCAAATGTGTGTAAATATATATTTATTCAATTTTTTTTATTCATTTCCACAATATTATTATATGCAAATGTTTAAATACATATATTCAGTGGTGGAAAGAGAACTGAAAAATCATACTTAAATAAAAGAACCATTACTTGCCTAAAAAAGTATGCAAGTAGTAATGCTAAGTATCTGTTGTTAATATTATTCAAAGTAATATTTAAAAAGTAAAAAGTAGACCTTTCAAAAGTACTCAGGAGTAGTGAGTAGTGAGTATTAGGCTGTATAAAGCAGATGCATTTGCATGTCATTTGTGGATGTGTGTAAACGTTACATTCTGTAGTGCATTTAGTTATTGCCCAGCAGGCACCAAAATTAACCAAAATTCAATGTCTAGCCAGCGTCTAAGGACAACGATACTTTGATGTCCAATAATGACGGTAAATGATAATGATATTGAGTTGATTTTAGGTTGTGTTGCAAAGTGACCAAAATCCAACGTCGAGCCAACATCCTAAACCAGTGTCATATTGAATGTCATATTTAAACCAGTGTCATAGTTAAATGTCAAACACTGACATTTAATCATCAGGTTTGGCAACCAAAATTCAACGTCTAATAGAAGTCATAGTGGAAACGTCCATTCAAGGTCAAGCTGTAATATCACTAGATGTTGATATTTGGTTGATTTTATGTTGGACGTTGGACATTGATGTCGGTCTGAAGTTCTGACATCAGACCGATTTTCATTTCCAAACAAAATTAACAGCCACACGGCGTTGGGGTACAATGTCAATCTGATGTCATGTTTACGTTTTGTGCCTGCTGGGTGTTGAAGGCCATTTTGGTCATTATACAGTAAACATCAGTCTTCTTCTCATCAGTGAAACGCATCTAATCAGTCTCTCGGTCAATGCATGTGAGGATTTTGGATATCTTCTTGGACACTTTTAATGCTTTCAAACATTTTGCTGCAATTATACATTGCCCATGTCTTGAGGTAGTTCAGTATGATGCACTTTACCTTCTATGTGCAAATTGATTGGACAGAAAATGAGAAAAATGAGGTAGTGTCTGCAGGTTGAAGGAAAGTAATGGAATTAAAGTACCGATACTGCACTAAAAATGTACTCAAGGGAAAGTAAAAGTACATATTTTTAAAACTACTTAGTAAATTACAATTTCTGAGAAAAACTACTGACAGTAGTTTGAGTATTTGTAATTTGTCACTTTACACCACTGCATATATTTCTGTACAATACAATTTGTAAAGTAATACTTGATTTTATTTTATATTAGATACTTTGTTTACCCAACAAGTGTTTATTATTGGACTTGCATTATCTTAAATCTTAAAAAAAAAAACTGTTAAAAAGTTTCATCACAGGTTATTTTTAGTTACTATACTCTCAAAAAATGTCCACATAAATCTGCAGATTTATTACAAAATTTGGCACAGAAATAGCAAAAAATGTCAGTAGATTCTGTCTGGCCCTGCCGATAACTCTTTGTTTTTGGATGCAAATAACCAATGTTAAGGCAACTAAGTAAAAATCATCATTATATTATTTTCTTTTTTCCAAAAATCAAAGGCAGTGGATTACTGATTTTTATCTAAAATGCTTAATTGCAGAAAACAAGAAACTGGAAAGATCTATTTAAAAAAATAAATCCCTTTTTTAGGTACGTCTGCTGTGCACAATGTGTTAAAACCCTCATGTCCAGGAGCACATATCTGAAATCTATCAACCAGCAGAAATAATTAGTAATCCCTAAAATCCCTATTTTTTTATGGATATTTATCATTTTTGGCATATGTACATGTGAGTATATCATTACAATATCCTTGATGAACAAACATCATACCCAATGTTTGTATAAATATATCGTAACATAATTTACCCTTGCTTCACTAATACAACCATATAGCAAATAGATTGGCTGATGTTCTTGCATTCATATGGTTAGACCGTGCAAGTGGACATGATCGAAATTTCATGTGTTTTGTTTAAAAACTTTTGGCCTCCATCACCTTCCAATGCTTTCAAAGGCTTCTGCGTGCTTATTTTGAAATGGCACCCTAAATCCTTGCAGTCTACACTAACATGATGTAATGCCGTTTTGTCTGTCGGGTAAAAGGTTGCTGCAGAGGTTGCCTCTGTGGTTTATTGAGATTGCATAGTGGTCTCAAAGTATGTGTACACGAGCACCATTCTGAAAGCAGAATGATAAATGAGACACCATATGGATTTGTGCCTGTACGAGAGCTCTATTTGGTGCGCCAGAGGTTTTTGTATCATTGATCACAGCTATGTCAGAGATGTTTAAGTCTCAGTCAGAATGTACTTAATGTACTAACTTAAGCTCGGTTCGGTTAATTTAAACTCTGCAGGTTTGCAAATCATTTGATAGCAAATGACAAACTATAGGCATAATGTAAATAAGAGATGTATTGTTCAGTGTAGACATTTTTTGTATTATAAGAGAAGATTTACTTTTATTTTCTAGTCAGTGAGTTTGCACTATGTCTAAACTGAAGCGATAGCAGCATCATCGATTTCTGTACAGTATTTATTTATTTATTCACGCATTTATTTACTTATTTATTCAATCATTTATTTATGTCAGTACTTTCATTTTAATTGTCTTTTATTCCTATAGTTTTAATTTCCAAAATAAATTCTCATTCCACTTAACAAATTTACAGTTTAACAAGTTTTTTAATGATTTATGAAGGGATTATAATGCTTTGTTTCATTATTTTGTCTTCATCTGCAAGTAGCAGGGTACTTATGCTGTGTTCATGTAACCCCCCCGGCTCTACGCCACCCAACCCGCTCCGACCTGGTTTCGAACCGGCAACCTTCCGCATGGGAGTCGGATGCTCTAACAAGGAGGCTAAAGACCATGACCTCTAGCGTCTGTCGCTAGAGCACCTTTTAGAGGTCAGAGGAGTGAGGTTTACCTGCACAGCACACACTAGCTGGCCTCCGTTACACTCACCCCCCTAAACCTCACTCCCATCCGGGTCACGGCACCAATGTAACCCCGCCGGCTCTACGCTACCCAACCCGCTCCGAGCTGGTTTTGAACCGGCAACCTTCCGCATGGGAGTCGGGTGCTCTAACAAGGAGGCTAAAGACCATGACCTCTAGCGTCTGTCGCTAGAGCACCTTTTAGAGGTCAGAGGAGTGAGGTTTACCTGCACAGCACACACTAGCTGGCCTCCGTTACATTCACAACAGACATGGAAGAAGCGTTAAGCGTGAGTGATTTACATATTAAGTCAATGCAAAGACGTGAATAGACATCCTGCGGCGCGATACGAACGAATGAAGCAGTGCAAATGATGTGATTCACGCGAATGAATCGGTGCAAGTTGAGCATTCTGCACGATTTACACACTTAATCGCTCAATTTGGAAAATCTGAACTTCAGCAGACTATCAGGCCACGTAAACCAACCATGAGCTTTTTTTTGTAGGGGTGTGATTATGACGTAGCTCCTGTTTTTGGGGTTCCGAGGGGAAAATCCTCCTGCCGTCAGCAGAGAACAGTTCATCAAACTGGGCTCGGCTCAGTCTGAAGCACCGCTGAAAGCTTCCATCATTCAGGTGTAGTTTCTGGAGGAGTTGATGAACTCATAGAGTTGGGTGCACCTCTTAAAGGAACTAGTGCACTCAGACACGGCGCCAGACGAATTGACACAATTTTTTCAGCCTTTATAAAGCACATTAACACAGTTATTCTCTTAATAAAGTTCATGTTAGTTATTTTGCACCTATGGTAGAGTTACCGGGCAGACAGAAGCCCATGACATGAATCCATGTCTATTGTGAAGTGAATTTGACGCGCGAATAAAGCAAGTAAACTCAAAATGTTCATGCGTCTATTTACGTGCAAATAGCTCTTTGCATCTGGTGTGAACACAGCAATACAGTTACTGTATATTTCTGGTGATTCGCATGTTTTTCCTTTGTAACCCCTGGCGGCATAGTTGCATACTGCTGTTACACCTAAAACATGTTCTTAATCCCTTAGTCCCTCCACGGCATCATGTGTGGCAGTAATGGTCAGATTGGTTGTAATGGTCATCCACTGTAGCTCATTTATAATGTAAATGAATGTTTAGAGTAATTCTTCATGCTGCTAAGTACATGACGATAAGTTTCAGGAGTTGCAAGCATATTAAAAAGCAGGACTGATCTGGAAACAATATTTCACCATATTTGAAACATAAATATATGAGGTAATAAAATTTTGACATGACCCCACACTATATTTATTGAACCTTAACCATCTGGGCACTCAGGGTGTTTTGGGGTTCTGGAGAAGTTCTGACATGCCCTGACATTTGTGTTTTTGTGCCCTGACGTTTGTGGTGATGTTTTTTGGTTGCTTATAAACATATAGGTGGCTAACGTCTAATAACTCTGTAAAGAGTACAAACTGGCCTGCTAGAATAGTTAGCAACATTTATGTACATGATTGTGTTTTTGAGAAAGAAATGTTCATGTGTGGAATGTGACTAACTAGACAAAACATTTGTCCTGATGAATTTGGCTAAAAAAAACAAAAACATTTTGTTAAAAAAATGTGGATATCACAGATATGGATAATACCACCTATGATAAACATCAACATCAACCCAGACAAATTCCAGTTAATATGGTCTCCCCTTTGGGGATTCATAAAAGAGTCTTTTTGATGTCTATATGGGACTATTTGTAATTTTCTTTCGTTGCTTATTTCTTATTGAAAAACGTATTTTTTATTAAAAACAATGTGAAAATTTTTATATATAATTTGTTTTTGTGTTTTTTCATTCATTTTTTCTTTGTGTCTTTTAAGTTCTATACATTTTGTAACATTAGTATGGAATGGGACAATTTTAATGTTATTTGATACTATGGGCAACAACCAGTAATAATGTAAATAATAATAATACTAAAAAACAGGTCTGAATCTGAAATTGCATTTCCTGACATTATAACCATAGCAATGGATAGTACAAGATTAAAATAAATTAGCAAAATAGATCTGTACTTTAAGTGTGTAACTTGTTCTGTTAACTGTAATGTGTTTGTTTGTTTCAGTTTTGATATCATGACTATCAGCACTAACAGAAATCAGAAATGCTGTTTGTCAGTTGCCGTTGTGCTTCTTATGATGCTTTGAAATCATTGGCATTAACATCACTTACCTCAAACTGCAGGAAGCTGAAAGTGTCTGTGTTTCTGCCAGAGAAAGCAGATTAACCTCAATCGGCTTTAGTTGGAGGATTTGAGTTTGGTTCTAGACTCGACTTTTCCCCCAAACAGAACTGTGCATCTGTTTCATTTTCCATGCTCATTTCACTGTGATTGTTTGCACGTGTCTGTGCATACTACTGTGCAGTCTGTGTCACAACCCCTGTTTCCGGTCTTTCAACTCACTGGAGACACTAATCACACGTCTCCAAAGTCATTGTGTTTTCTGGAGATGTTGCAAATGTTTCCATAGACTCCCACTCATTATGTCAAAGCATCCTGACCTAGAGCTCCCAGTGCACTGTTTGGCACTGCTGAGGGACTGCGCTGCTGTCTCACTGCTCAGAGACCTATTAATCTCTATCTTTCGCCCCTGTGACTGTCTGCAGATATCAGTGTCTGGGTCACGTCCTGGAAAAGAGCTCCATTATTACATTTAGTGGTGCCCTCAGATGTTTTTACCATAGTTGAAGTAAACTTTGATCTTTAATTCAATGATCTCGTCTGCCCAGCAGCCAGTCGTTCCTAGGAGTCCCACCAGCAGCTCTGCCACTCCCACAAGCACCATCAGCACACCCTCGAAGCGTGATAGCTCCGCCCTGCAGGACCTGTATATTCCGCCTCCTCCATCTGAGCCATACACACCCAGGTAAACTCGTCCAGCATAGGTATTTTTTAATACCTATAACTTTAAGAAATGATCTTGTATTTTTTGAAAATATACATTTTTTTGTCAAAACATGTATGTATCATGTCAATATTCTGTCAGTATAATACAATAATATATCCTGAAAATAATAGGTCCGAAACACAATGCTTTGTTACTGTTTTTTTCGGCTAACCTCTCTGTTACATTGTAATTAATACTATTGTTTAAGATGGAATAGGTATTTAATAGGTGAATGTTACCTTTCTATCCTCCCTGCTGCAAGCGGAATTCATACTAATGTTAGGAGGTGAGCTGACTTCCAAGAATGCTAAAGAATTTAGCTTTTAGCATCATTTGCTAGTTCATCACTTGGAGCCATGAGAGTGCGGTTCACCTCACTGGCCTCCATCACACTCACCCCCCTTAAACCTCACTCCCATCTGAATTAAGTTACTTTTCACACTCCAAACTAAATTTGGATTAGCATGTGAACAAGTATGCTAAAGAGCTCAGTCTGTATCACTGTATGCTAGTTCACCTCTTGGAGGCAGGCAAGGTTTCTAGGTGTCTTTCATTACACTCCATCACTAAACCTCACTCCTATCCAGGTTACCCTTTTAGTCAAGTGGTGCTCGCTGCAGAGCCATTTGGGCGAGCTGAGCTCCAGCGAGGGGGAACTTGAGCTTGAGCTCCACCTTTTTTGCACTTCTTCTACGAGTGATGTCACTAGGGGTAGGGTTAGGGGTGGGGTTGGTGTACGCATTAAAACAGCTTACAGGAGGCAGAACGAGAGCTCATGCTCCCCCTCGCTGGAGCTCAGCTCTGCTCAAATGGCTCTGCAGCGAGCACCCTCTCCTTTTAGTACTTCTCCCCCTACTGTAAAAAAAAAAAAAGTGTGTTAAAGTTCATAGCCACTTGTGTCAGTTTCCATTATGTGCCTCAAGGGGTTAAGGTTTGCCTACACAGCTCTTACTAGCTGTCCCCCATTACACTCTGCCCTCTTAACCTCACTTCCATCTTTATTATAGCACCAGTATTACCTCACTGTTACTACTCATCCTGCTCTGTGCTGGATTTGAACAGGTGTGCCCACGAGGGCATTAAAGTTGCCATGAAATGAAAATGTACCTATCTTCTATGCATATAATAGTTCAACATGTCTGTTCACTTCATTATATTGTAAAAACCTTTCCTCCCCTTCGAAACTGTCTTCATTTCTTGATCACATGGAATCAGTGAGTGTCTCATTTTCGCTCTGAATTTGTCCATTTGTGAATCTTCCTTCTTCTTCATTTTGTTAGCAACAGCTGCCTTTAAAGAATCCAATCGGTCCCGAAAGAACAAAAGCATGCACCGCTCTATATATTTTTTAACATTTCACGACCGTTTTAAGTAGATACACATCACGATAGTGGAAAATGGCCAATCTTAACTTCTGTTTCATAGCGACTTTAACAACTGCTGCCTCTCTAGTCCATAGTACACCTATCAGGGCCAAGGAACTCATGTTTTTCTAAATGCTTTTTACTAAATAATCTAGATTTATATTCACCCCGCTGAACTTCCCTGCCTGGCGAGTCATGGAACCAATGTAAACATTACAGGCTCATTGTGAAAATGTATCTCTGTATACATTTCTGGAGATTGAGAAGTAAGTAGCTAGAGCTCAGCATGGCTGAATTTTGTCTTTAAAACGAATGCTACGGGGCGGTATGACATGACATGACTGTTTCTTTTCATGCTACCAACTGACCGCTTACCTCTATGTTCCTGTTCCAGAGAGCAGGTAACAATAACCAAAGTTAAACTAGTAAACAACAGGGTGAGAACATGGTAAGATCTGAAAACGTTGTAAAACTCTCACCGCTTTAAAATGCTGTCAGTTGGGTTTAGGGAAATGGGTATATTGGGGGATCGGTCAGTCTGTCAGTTAATCAGTTGACAGTGGCCTCTGGTGGATTCACCCAGGAATAGTATGTGCAAATGGCACTAGCAAGAGAAATTTGAGATCCTAAAAAGTGTACACAGTGGCCTCTGGTGGATTCGTGAAAACTGCAAAAAAACAAAAAAAACTTAGCTCTTGAGACGTATTTTGCGCTGTCCAGAAATGTATACAGGGGTATAAATCAGTAAAGAGCCTGGGTTGAATGTAAACTCAAACGACTGAGCTGATTTAAATCTCCATTTGAACAAGAATGCATCTAGGGTCAGTTGGCAGTTTATCTCTTAAGACCAGGGAAGAGAAGTTAACCTGCACTGCTATTTCTAGATGGCTTACAATACACTCACCACCTTAAAACCTCACTTTCATCCGGGTCACGGCACCAGCTACCACTCTCCGAGCTGGATTTGAGCTGGTGCTTTAACAAGATCCTGTAGTCTATAACAAATACAACATCTTTGTTACCTCTCCAGATATTCCCAACCAGCTTCAAGCTGGTTTTGATAGAGCTATTTCTTTAAAGACAAAATATAAACAAACTTAACGCACATACAATGGCTATATTAAGTCAATGACTGTGTTTTTTAGAGATGAAAAAGGCGGTATCCAAAGTGAGAGTGGGGTACCTGTCGCAAAAGGATCAGAATCACCAAACTCATTCCTGGATCAAGAATACAGGCGGCGATTTCCTCTAGTGGAAGAGGAGGCTGTCCTGTACTGCTACGAGTACGACCCCAGCCATGGACCCACAACATCCCGTCGGGACAGCACCCCCACTTATGGTACACAAGCACACACACACACACACACAGAGAGAGAGAGAAACAAAAAGTTTTGTCACTAGGAGATGCTTAGATGCTACAATGGGGTTATACAATATTTTAGCATTGGAAATTTTCTGCACACCGTGAAATGATTTGCTATTTTCTGCTGGATTTTACAGCAGATGCCTGAGGGACTGAATATTGACCCAGCAACTAATCTCAGGAGCAGGCCAAACTTCTGTGAACATCTGCTGATAGTAGAATAGCACATAACGAACAGAAAACAATCTATACCCCAATTGCAGTGCATAAATATCAGTTAATAAGAAATCTGCAAGCAAAAGTAATTTTACCAGTATAAATATTGTATGTTCTGTAATGGATCCTACATGTTTTACCACACTGCGCATGATTGTATGTTTTTTTTTTTTTTTGAGGTTTCTAAAGCAAGCATGTCTATAACTAGTTTCCTGCGTAGGGAGCTGGTTTCAGATTTTTCTGTAATTAAACTCTAGGGAGCTGGGCTGCACTTTGTTGTGAGTATGTATGTGCGTTTGTTTGTGTAGCCTTATATCCAAAACCTGAGAACTCGGCACTAGTCGTTAAATGCCAGCGTGAGCCTCTGCAGTGGCACAGAACTGCTGACACACTCCATGCCCGCTGCTTCCCTAGAAAACGAGAGGACACATTAACTGTGACAGTTTGTCTTACACAAACACACACTCACACAGACTTACCTTGGCGTCTGTGGAGGAAATAGATTGTGAACTGTCATTTTACTTCCATCTATCCCCTATTTTCTATCCCCTGTCTTTCCACACACACACACACACACACACACACACACACACACACAATGTGATGTTTGAATGTGCTTTCTTGTGCTTTTAGGTCGTCTGAGGCCCATCTCAATGCCTGTGGAGTATAACTGGGTTCCTGACTATGAAGACCCAGCTAGAGTGAAGAGAGACGGTCGGAGAGGTGAGTTGGCATCAGTTACAGTACATGCATCTGCTTCTTCTCTTGTTTATGTTCAGAATTCTCTTTTTTGCTATGCAAAATATATCTTGGAAATTGAAAAATGTTGAAATAAAAATGTTTTAGAAAAGGTCAAAACTATGTAATTTTATACTCTGTTAAAATAGTTGGGTTAAAAATACCACAACATATAACCTAACTATAGGTTATTTTACCACCTTCCCGACTATGGGTTATGTTAACCCAATGCATTGGGTTATATAATCTAACCCAATGCATTGGGTTATTTTGATTAAATGTTATTTTTTCCATTCTGGTATTACTATTGAAGTACTACTATTATTTTCGAATTATGGCTGTGTAAATTAAAGAATGTCTCCTCTCGTCCCTAAAGGCGAGTATGACAGCCGAATATCCCAAATATGTGTATCATTTTATCCCGCTCCCTCAAAAAAAAAACTGTAGAGATGAATACAGGAGGTAGAGAAAGTGTTTTATCAGCTATGAAGCATGCGTTTATATCATCAATAATTAAGAGTGCTGGTAAAACGAATAGAAAAAACACGACCTGAGAGGTCATTTGAAAAAAAAAATAGCAACATTATTACTTTAGAACTTTAAATTTTTCAACACAAAAACAACATTACTTGCACATATTAATACAGCTGTTCTGTGTCAGTTAAATCAGCTGACTGTTGAAATTCAAAAATTTGAACCCAACTGGTTGAGTTATTATTAAACAACCTAATAAAAAATAACCCAACAAAGCACCAAATATGTTAAACTCAACCATTGGGTTAAAGAAATAACTTAATGTTTTTTAGAGTGTAGCTAACGTTTCCCAGCATGAACTTTACTTTTCTTATTCAGTTTGGTCTTTTTGTTATTTTATAGTCTTGGAAATCTGCACCTAAAATATAAAGAATATATATATTGATAATACTATGTATAATGTACACTACCTGACAAAAGTCTTGTCGTCAATGCCAGTTGTAAGAGCAACAAATAATAACTTGACTTCTAGTTGATCATTTAGAAAAGTGGTAGAAGGTAGATTTTTCTCGATGAATCATCCAGTTGAACTGCATCCCATTCATCACAAATACCGCAGAAGACCTATTGGAACATGTATGGACCCAAGATTCTCATAGAAATCAGTCAAACTTGGTGAAGGAAAAATCATGGTTCAAATCATTATGAGAGATCTGCAGAGGGGATGGCAACATCAGTAGCCTGAGGTATCAAGACATTTGTGCTGCCCATAACATTACAAACCACAGGAGAGGATAAATTCTTCAACAGGATAGAGCTCCTTATACTTCAGCTTCTACAGCAAAGCTCCTGAAAGCAAAGAAGATCAAGGTGCTCCAGGATTGGCCAGCCCAGTCACCAGAAATTAACATTATTAAGCATGTCTGGGGTAAAATGAAAGAGGCATTAAAGATAAATCCAAAGAATCCTGATGAACTCTGGGAGTCCTGCAAGAACGCTTTCTATGCTATTACAGATTACTTTATTAATAAGTTATTTGAGTCATTGCAGAGATGTATGGATGCAGTCCTCCAAGCTCATGGGAGTCATACACAATAATAATTCCACTGCACCATGACTTTATATTCTATACTGTACATTATTTCTGTTAAGTGACAACACTTTTATCTAAGCAAAGTCAGACCTTACTGACCTAATTAAATAATTCAAGGCATGATCATATATTTTTTGGTAAAATAAGCATAATCTAGAGACCTTTGCCTTTTATGTAAGCCACTTCTGATACCAATTGATCAACTAGAAGTCAAGTATTTCCAAAACTTGGATAGGCGACAAGACTTTTGTCAGGTAGTGTATTATTCTGTAGTCTATAAGTGTGTTAACTTACTAACTGCCAAAAGTTTGTCTTTGTGTATTTTGCCATAATTACCTAATTGATCCTCCAGTCAAATTTTAGACTACAAATATTTCATTTAATCTCTTAATTAATACAATGTCATACAAACAGTATTATACATATTGAGGATTTGGAAAATGTTAGATTAAAAGTAGTCTTTGATGTGCATGTCACATTACAGCCATTTGCTGAAATTTTGATGATGGCATCCTTTGTTTGAATCATGAAAAGTTGGCTGTGATATTAAAGCATTATCAAAACAGCAAAAGTGCTGTTGTACTACAACATTGTGGTATTGCTTTTATGCAGCAATTCAATGAACAAGAAGTTAATGCAGAATAATTGACGTTTCAAGCACAAATACGGTCAGCTATTTTGTTCATTTATACTCCTCCAACTTTATCATTATGCTTTATGGTCTAGGTGACATCAGCAGAGAAATAGAGGGGACTGCTATTATTTTTTTTTTTTTTTTTGCAAGATTATGGAATTTCTTTCACACACACATTTATTCATTGGAAAAATTCTCCATTGAAATACCTGGTTTATTAAAGAAATAATGAACATAACTGTACTGCATAAGGTGTAATTATTTCTACTATGCAAAATTCAAATAGCGATCAGTTTGACATAGATTGTTTTTATTAGCCAGCACTAGTGGAGCATCTCTTAATAGTATTAATTTTACAAAATGTGTCTTTTTTTTTATTTATCCTGGATATTTGTTTAATCATCACTTCCAAAATGCCTTTTTTCCATCTTTCTTCTCATCTTTGTTGTTATTCACCCTGGTTTCCCCCATTGTTTCCCTCTGTTTCTTTGTTATTGCATTCTCATGGCTCTTATTCAGAAGTGATGTTTAGCTGAGCTCTTTTCCATGGATCTAATTCTCCTCGCTGCACGGTGGCTCTGAACTGCGCTGGGCATAGCTGATTACTTCCTGTGACCGCACTGCATGCAATGCCAGGATAACAGTAGCAGCCTCTGAGCACCAACACAGAGCCAGTGTGCGCTAGGGCCGAGACCGTCTCAGTTGGCTTCTGCTTTACAAATACTGTCCAGAACTCTGACAGAAATAGCTGGACTAGGCAGATAATATCACTGGCTAGTTTTAATTAAACCTTTTCAAAAATTAAAATGCATATTTTATGTTATTTAAAGCTTCTTAAAGGGATAGTTCATCCAAAAAGAAAGGGATACTTTGACTTTCATATTTTGAAAAAGATGGAAACCTGTAACCAATGACTTCTATAATGTTTGTATTTGCTACTATAGAAGTCAATGGTAACAGGTTTTCAGCTTTTTTCTAAATATCTTTCATGTTCAGCAAAAGAAAGAGCACCATAAAAGTTGAGGGAGAGTAAATAGAGAAGGAAGTCACTATTAAAATAATAAATAAATAGTCTTGGAAGTCACCTGTAATTGATTTATAAATCCAAAGGTAATATATATTATTCATTCATTCATTCATTTTCTTGTCGGCTTAGTCCCTTTATTAGTCCAGGGTCACCACAGCGGAATGAACCGCCAACTTATCCAGCAAGTTTTTATGCAGCGGATGCCCTTCCAGCCGCAACCCATCTCTTGGAATCATCCACACACGTTCACACACACACTCATACACTACGGACAATTTAGCCTACCCAATTCACCTGTACCAGAGGAAACCCACGCGAAGGCAGCGAGAACATGCAAACTCCACACAGAAACGCCAACTGAGCCAAGGTTCGAACCAGTGACCCCGCGACCTTCTTGCTGTGAGGCAAAAGCACTACCTACTTCCCCACTGACTCGCCATATATTTTATATTATGTAATGTAATGTGTATTTATATAGTGCATTTATTGTGTATGGCCATACACCCAAAGCTCTTCACAATCATGAGGGGGGTCTCTCCACACCACCACAAGTTTGCAGCATCTACTTGGATGATGCGATGGCAGCCACAGGACAATGGCGCCAGTGCGCTCACCACACACCAGCTAATGGTGGAGTGGAAGCTCATGGGAGTCAGTTTCTCTACCAAAGAGGCTAAAGACCATGGCTTCTAACATCTGTCGTAAGAGGTCAGAGGAGTGAGATTTACCTGCAAAGCATTTCACTAGCTGGCTCCTGCTACACTCCCCCTCCCTAAACCTCACTCCCATCCCAGACTAGCCCCCAAGTGTAACCCACCAGTTCTTTTGCACGCAACCCTCTCTGAGTTGGGATAAAACTAGCAACTTTTCGTATGGGAGTCGGTTGCTCTACCAAGAAGGCCATGGTCTACAACATAGAGCATTAGAGCACCTTTAGAGGTCAGAGGAGGGAGGTTAACCTGCAATAGGACCAGTAAGTTACACTTGGGGGCTCATCCAGGATAGAAGTGCTCTGCAGGTAAACTTCACCCCTCTGACTTCTAAAGATGCTCTAGCAACAGATGCTAGAGGCCATGGTCTTCAGACTTCTTGGTAGAGCAACCGACTCCCATGTGGAGAGTCGCCGGTTCGATCCCAGCTAAGAGCGGTTTGGGTGGTATAGGACCGGTGGGGGTTACATTGATGCTGTAACTCAGATGGGAGTGAGGTTTAAGGGGTTGGGTGTAACAGAGGCCAGCTAGCGAAGTGCTATGCAGGTAAACCTCACTCTGAGCACTAAAGGTGCTCGCTAAAGACCATGGCCTCAAGAGCAACTTTAGAGGCCATCCCGGACGAGCCCCCACCGGTCCTACTGCACCTATTGAGCTGGGATTGAACCGGCGATTTTTTTATAAAAATTTTTTTTGCATGGGAGTTGGTTTCTCTACCAAAGAGGCTAAAGATCCTTGGCCTCTAGCGTCACTAGAGTACCTTTAGAGGTCAGAGGTGTGAGGTTAATCTGCATAGCACTTCGCTAACTGGACTCTGTTACAATATTTTTAAAAAGGTATGTAATAAATGTATAAAACAAATTACAGCCACAGCCATATCACCCTGCTGCCCAAGACCAGTTACTCACTGAATCTAACAGTACCTGGATGGGTGACCACATGGGAAAACTAGCTTGCTGTTGGAAGTGGTGTTAGTGAGGCCAGCAGGGGGTGCTCAACATGTGGTCTGTGTGAGTCCAAAAGCCCCAGTAAATGTGAAGAGTACAC